ACTGAAATGAAGGGTTAACTTGTCCAAGACTGATCTCTCCAGTCTAGCCCCCCACAAAGGCTGGCCTCCTGCACAGTCCATGTAAACCATCTAGTCTCAGTGCTTAAGTCCATTAATTTGGTCAAAAGCAAGGCTTGAACTTAGCTCATCATGGGGAAGAGGAGAGAGGAAAGTGCTGGTGCTGCCTCAACTATGAATGCTGCTGTGGTAAATCCTACTGCTAGTTTGCATGCCCCGCAAAACTCACCAATAAAGCTGCAACTGCAAGGCTTGGACCCCAGTCCCTCATCATGCCAGAGAAGGGGCTGGTGTTGTATCCAACCACCAATGCTGACCTGGCAGGATGGGACTGAAATGAAGGCTGTGCCAGTCATGTTGCTATTGTTCCCTGGCCTCAGATCATACCAAAGGAGGAGCTGGTGTTTCCCTAGTCATGTCTGCCCCCAACAGACCTCTGTGTGCAGCTTTAGAATGACTAGGAGCATCTCCTATTGATCCAGTGTCTGAGAGCTTTCTCCAGTGCCCCACAGGCACAGTGAGAATGCTGCTTGCCCATTTGTCCTGTTTGCATAATAAAATCCTTACAAATAAAGTCACAATTCTAAAAGAAGATACAGCTGATTTGTTTCAAGTGTTTTTCAGTTGATGACTACTCCAAGCCAGCCACCCCAAGTAAAGATCTGAAGATATTTGACCTGAAGAATGAGACTGCCAGCCCTTGAGCCAAAGGGAACCAGGCCGCGCTACACCCCAGAGACCCATTTTTAGCAGCAGTGGGGACTTGAACCTATCTACTGTTCATGACTCTGGCCAGGGGGCTCTGTGTGGGGCTCTGGTCACATTTACACCAGTGGGATGAACATGACCCCTGACTGCAGCCATGTGCCCAGTCTCTGTGGCTCTGGCTTCTGCTCATGTTCCTCATTTGCTCCATGGTTCTCTGAGTGTGCTGGAGCCCTGCCCAGGACTATAGCCAGCTTGGTTGGGCCCTGATAACCTGCCCGTTGCCATCTGCCGGCTAATGTCCCACTTTAGCATGAATGAGGGCACTCCTGGAATCAGGATGCTGCCACCTGCCCCTGCGCACAGCTGCCACCTAGCTGTTGCTGCATGGCCTCCATTCGCTTGTCTGGACCAATCAGATCAGATATGTGGAAGCTGGGCCACCATCACCTCAGAGGGAACCCTTCAGCCAGGTAAGTCCCCACTCCACTCTAGACACATATTCTTGAAACTCCTAGTTTACTTTTTTAGGTTGAAAATTCTACCCCCTATTACAGAAGCTTCACAGATAATTTTCACCCTCACTAGGTACATCAAACACTCAAAGTCAATCTCCAGAGTTTTCATCAACATTGACTTAGTTGTTTTATCTGTCAGGCAATAAAGGTATGGTTCTAGGGTTTATGAACTATTTAAGGGCATAGAAAAATATTTTAGGTCTGACAGAAAGTAGTTCCAAAACAAAATAACACACTCTCAAATGATCTCAAAAGCAAAAGCCTTTACAATTATTCATAACCCAAACTTTTTACTTATGAAATATGAGTGCATTTCATCATCCAGTAGGGTGGGACATCTAAACTCGAGCAAGTCAAGGACCTGAGAGTGTAATCTCATGGCAGACCCTCCCTACCTGCTCACATTTTCCAACCTCATCGTTTCCCTCAGTCGCTGTATGGCTGCCACCAAATGGTAGGTGCGACCATGGCGGCGTGGGTACTAACCACAGGGCCCATAGGCAGAGTATCTGTTGAATGAACGGGTGCATTGATGAATGAATAAACAAATTAAGCAATGTATAAATCCTACAATAGAAATATTTTAAGATATTTTTAAAAATCAGAATGAGAGGGGAATGGGGAGTTGTTGCTTAATAAGTAAAGCGTTCCAGTTTTGCAAGGTGAGAAAGTTCTGGAGATTGGTTGTGCAACCAAGCGAATATACTTAACACTGCTAAATATACTTAGAAATTATGAGGATGTCTAAGTTTTATGTTACATTTTTCACCACCATAAAAAATTTAAAAATCAAACCAAATTTTTAAAAATTAGAAATAAAATTTACAGAAAAATTCAAAATACATTTATGACAGCTATCTGAATCTCACTGCAGCAACTCTTCAGTTTTCATCAACATAGCCCTGACTTCTTCAGTCCTATTTTCATATAATATGTATTATTTATTCTGTGACTTCTTTTGGGGGAGGTCAGTAAGTGACAGTTCCATTTGACAGTCCAGACAGAATTTGATGGCGTAATTACAAAAACAAAATAAAAACAATTTTACTTTTAATTTTATATAAGGAAGAACTTAACCCTTTTGTACAATTTGAAAAACAAAACTTGACTTTCAGCAACAGGCTAGAAATTTTTAACAAATTTGAAATAACTTTTCAATTTATAGTAAGCCATATCTCCTCAGTGTGTACATTTATAATCACCTAGAGTCTCCACACTCAGAAATAACTACTGTTAATGTGTTAGTGTATGATATATGCACAATACAAATATATTTTACATTGTGCTTTATATCTTATTTTTCTATTTAATGTATCAGGAGCATTTTCTGAAATTAACACATATTCATGGTTTCCTGTGTTAATCTGGAATAAAATCGAAAGTCCTCACCTTGGCCTACAAGCCCCAGTGTGATCTATCCTAAGCCTCCCTGTGTAACTTCAGCTTCTTCCACTTCCCACCTTCCACTCGCTGTGTTCCATTCACACAGGCCTTCTTGCTGGTCCTTAGGCATGATCAGCATGCACTTACTTGCCTCAGGGCCTTTGCACTTATTGCATCCCCCCTCTGGAACCCCTTGCTTCAGATTTTCACAAGGGCTACTCCCTCATTTCACTGCTATCTCACCTTATAATAGGTAAGCACCTTATACAAAGTGATAACCATTGTGTATCCCCTTGCTCTACTTTATTACGTATTGTAGGACTTAACACGACTTAATATAATATTACATAACTATTGATTGTTAAGACCTGGTTTTCCTAGAAGAATGTAAGCTCTACAAGGGCAGAGACTTTGTCTTGTTCATTCTTCTATCCCCTGACACCAGGTTGTAAATCATCATTTGTTGAATGAACCAATGACTTTTGCTTTAACCTATTTCATGACTGCACAGAACTCTGTTGCATGGATGTTGCTAAATACATTTAGCTAATTCTCTTTTCTGGGATACTATAGATTGCACTGCAGTGGAATACTTAAATATGTTCTCTTAAATATAGTAGTTTTCCATTGTTTTATCCGAGTTAATTACATTGAGTGCAGCAGCTTCCTAGCCATTCGCCTTCCTCTTTTCCCTCCTCCCACAGTTTGTATTACAGACAGACTGATATCCCACTCCTTTCCTTGCCCTCCATGTACAGAAGCTTAAGTCCAAGCTCTGACTGCTGGTGTGTCCCTATTCTACCTTCCCACTGTGGTTTCCCAGGGTGGGAGGATGGGGGAGGATCACGAAAAATAACTAATGGGTACTAGGCTTAATACCTGGGTGATGAAATAATCTATACCACAAACCCCATGACACAAGTTTACCTATGTTACAAACCTGCATATGTACCCCTGAACTTAAAATAAAAGTTAAAAAAATCATTTAACTATTCCAAAAAACAGCCCACACTTCCCACTGGATGCAGGTTGTCCCTCTTAACAGTTGCTCTAATTATGCTTTAGTGTGTATTGTTCCCTTTTCACAGAATATATTCCTATTCATTTACAAGCCTAAATTCCACCCATCTTCCAAGTCCCTTGCCAGTCCCTCCTGATTGCATCGTGCCTTCCTTGAATCTAGTCTGCATGACATCTCACCTCCCTAAGTTGTTCTAATACTCCCTATGTCTAGCATGCGTGATGGCTTCTGACCATGTTCAGGCACCTCATGAGCTTTAGCTACAATCACATGAACTGCAACTTCCTGAAGCACTTTCAAAGTCCTGTGCAGTCCTAGTCACAAAATAATAAATATTTTTAAAATTGAGCAGTTTCACCAAAGTCAAAACTTTTATGCAAAACGAGATAGTGTTTTGAGGGAAGAAATGGCATTATCCAAGATCAAATCTTTTCATCTTTCCTTATATTTTCTTTGCATATTATCTACACACTATTCTGCCATAAAGAATTTTCCATTCTTAAATTCCTATTTGCAATCCTTGATCGACCACTATATAAAATCTATTTCTGACAATTTTGCTGTTGTTTTAGATTTTGGCTTGTCTTAACATTATTAAGTATGAAGTTATTTTTAAATGAGTATTTCATTCAGGAATTATTTTAAAAATCATGATGAGGCCGGGTGCGGTGGCTCAAGCCTGTAATCCCAGCACTTTGGAAGGCCGAGACGGGCGGATCACGAGGTCAGGAGATCAAGACCATCCTGGCTAACATGGTGAAACCCCGTCTCTACTAAAAAAAAAATACAAAAAGCTAGCCAGGGGTGGTGGCAGGCGCCTGTAGTCCCAGCTACTCCGGAGGCTGAGGTAGGAGAATGGCGTGGAGCTGGGAGGTGGAGCTTGCAGTGAGCTGAGATCCGGCCACTGCACTCCAGCCTGGGTGACAGAGCGAGACTCCGTCTCAAAAAAAAAAAAGTCATGATGAGGTGGTATGTGAGTTACATAGATATTTCTTGGTTTTCATATAAGGGGCACGGGGCAGTACGAAAATCATAAACTATACCTTTCATTCTTTCATCCTGTGTGTGGAGGGGTCAGGGAGAATGCTTTCTCTTAGTGAGGATGTTACCGGGTAGGAACTGTAGGTTGAGCACTCAGGCAGAAGCATGAGCAAGGGATTCTGCAAAAAATATTCTGTAAGGAATATTCTGTAAGCTAGGTCCACAAGTCACATGGTTTTGTTTTTTGATCTCAATAATATACATGATTATGCTGAAATCTCAGGTCTTTTTCTCCACCACCACATGTTTTTCGGTTGCGTGATCTCAGGATCCACCAAAACACACCCAAGGCATCCTGGCAAATGCCCACTCACCATCTTCCTCGTAGAGAAGACCCATATGCATGTGTGCCTCGGCTTCTTTCTTTCCACCGTCAATTTTGATCAGCTGAGCAATCTTAAAACATCGTTCATAGAAGTGGTTCCTTACCCACTTGTCTTCAGAGTTATTGAAGTAACAGGCCAGAGCATACAAGTTGTTATATACATCTTCAAAGGATTCTTCAAAGAGAGAAAAGCACCATGAATGGCATTAGAAAGATGTCTCATGGCATACCCTTTAGAATGGCAAACCAGTATCATGACATTTATTTCCTACTTTTCCTTAAAGATGTGATTAACAATTTTAAAAATTGGGTCTAAAAGCAAAAATTAATTTATTTTAACTATTAATTTAATTACATTAATTAACGGATGTGCAGATGAGTAAAGCAACAAAAGGCTTTCTGAAAACTTACAACATGTAGGAAATTCACACTATTTAGTTGAAACAGGAGGCTTTTAAAATATAGGACAGGACAATACCTACTAGCAACGTGCTCAGTGCTTTTGGAAGAAAGGAGTATATGGTATCATTGAGCACTTTTCCCACTGGAGGTTTGAAAGTACTTAGAGATTCTAGAAATGGCAGTGTTTCTCAGCCATGGCAAAAGATAATGTAAATGAAGAAAGCAGAATGGATATGAAAATACCAAGGTATTTCATATCATAAAAAATGTCACGGGCCTGATAGATACAACAAATGATGATCAGAATGACCCTATAAGCTCCATATGCTTTCAAGCAATGTTTCTAGCAATATTAATTTCTAGCAATGTTAAGAAAGAGTAGACTCCTATACTTCTGTTTTCTATGGGTATTTTTTTGCTGGGTATGCATAAATACTAGTCGTTTTTATTCAGAAAGTTGTTGATTAAACTCTTGTAGGTTTTTTTTTTAAAGGGTATCTAACCTATATGTACACAAAAAGTGTGTCCATCAATTGTGAATCAGTCTTATAAACCCCACCTTGAACAAATATGTCTGTGTGTTAATAAATCATGACTCAGTCCTGTAAACTCTATTCTAATGGTGAATATGAACAAATTAATAATATTTATGTCTTTTGTATTTATGCTGAAAACATAGTTGTATTATAAAATGCAGTGGTCTCTGGGTTACCCTTCCAATAATTTTTTAATAACAACCATTATCTATTAGAATTCACTGATATTAATTGTTCACTACTACCAGAGGAATCAACCCACATATTCCTGAAGAGATGACAATTATGAAACATATTGCCCAGTAGGACACCTATAAGATTAGAACCAAAACTCAGAAAAAATTAAACAGGTTGATTACAACAAAGGGTCATTTTGCAGAACTGTAAATAAGTCACCCCAATGTTTCAAAAGAAATTTCTAAAACCGATTCTATTCCTTTACATATACTTCTTCAAAATCCTTTAAAATGGAAACTAAGATTTATATGAAAATAAATTTAGTAACTAGAAAACAAAATAAAAAGGTCTCCCTATCCTGGAAGTTGCTGGGGATTCTGGAGAGCCATTCTGCTTTTCGAGGACACTCACACTAGGTGACAGCTCAGGTGAAAAGTAGATAACCTAAGTTATTTATTTGATGCAAATACTCCCACCTCAGAACTATTCCATTATGAACTTCCTACATAATGTGAATACAACAGTAAAGTCTGTTTTGTAATATTTCATATTCTTGGTTATATTTACTGATTAGAGAGTTATTGCTTTTAGAAGCCAGCAAGTAAAACATTTGGTATTTTCCACTTTAATAAAAAGTATATATATAATTAAAAATATATGTAGTCCTGAAACAATTTTTTTATATTTTAGTAATTAAACCTTAATGTAAAAATATTTGCAACATTTCATAAGGTTTTTATTTTATTTTATTTTTTTAGGAATGAGTTAGATAAGCTACCAATATTACATATTTAAAGACTACTTGTCAGCTAAGCTATTTTTCTATGAAAAAAAGGGATGGTTTTCCAGAATCTTAAATATAAAAGAATATATTCAAGTTTCAAATCTTTGGGCACTCCAAATACATGTCCTGTGCCCCTCACAAAGGCTACAAGTAGCCTTCTCTCCTTGCTTGTAGACAACTTCCTTGAATTGTCAGCAGGTATACTCAGAAGATGAAAATCAATTTTATTGTGGGTTTCTTATGCTCTTTAAAAAGACAATTCTACAATAAAATAAATTTGGGAAACATTTTTGCTAATTTCCTTTTTCAGTAAACCACACAATAAACATCAGCATGCTAAATGCTCTGATTAGTCCTGCAATACATCAACCTGCTTAACCTCAGTGTTAGTTCACCTGGTATTTCTCAAGCTTATTTTGCCAGAAAATTGTTTTGTTTTGCTTTACATCAAATCTGTAAATATCTGTGGAATTTTGCTTTAGTAGAACATAATTTGTGTATCTTAAACAAACATTATTAGAAAAAAATTGCTGCTCAACCCTTAATAAATTTAAAAGTCAAGTGTAAATAATGTTTGAATTATCTATTGATTCTCTTACCCATTACCATTATTGTCATCTCTTCCCTAACCCCATGGGACATAAGGCTCAAATCAGATGTCACAGATGGCACAGCAATGATTCATGACAATGGATAATATTTTAAAAATGTATCAAGGACAAAGAGACACTTTAACAAATGGAAAATAACCCCAAAAGAAATGATTGACTTACTTTAAACACACCTTTGCTATAAAACAGCAAGTGATGTTTTGTAAAGTAATTTAAATAACTCTAGGTTACTGCTTTGTAAGTCTCAAGAGACAGAACTGACCTGAGGTGACTATTGTTAGTGCCATAGCTTTCATTAAATGAACTTCACTGTGACCCTAGAGTGATGGTCCTTCCAATGAGAAGCAACGAGAATGCTCAGTTATACGCTATCTCAGGAAAATTGTCTCCAACCCCACAACCATATGGAATGGAACTTTAAGATACTATTAACATTTCTATATTCTAGGCATACATACACATTTTAAGATTTAGGATTCATTCAAGTTAATAAGAGTGAATGTGCATATCTCATTTTCTGGTACATTCCTAATTCAAACCACAATTTTCCTCCAGTAAAGTTCATGTGTTGAATGTGGAAAAAAAATTATAACATTTTTTGAAAGAAGGCCACACAAATGTTTACATGTCCTTCAGCTGAAGGTTTTCCAGTAATACTTTTGTAATAATTTTAATTTTCTATATTTCAACCAGACAAAAGTCACTGAATTTTGCGGGAGATAATCCTACAGAAGAGACATTGGCTATTATAACGTTGGACTTTGGGCCAGGTGCAGTGGCTCACGCCTGTAATCCCAGCACTTTGGGAGACTAAGATAGGTGGATCACTTGAGGTCAGGAGTTCGAGACCAGCCTGGCCAACATGGTGAAACCCCGTCTCTACTAAAAATACAAAAATTAACTTGGCATGGTGGTTTGTGCCTGTAGTCTCAGCTACTCGGGAGGCTGAAGCAGGAAAATCGCTTGAACCTGGAAGGTGGAGGTTGCAGTGAGCTGAGATGGCGCCACTGCGCTCCAGCCTGATTGACAGAGCAAGAGTCTGTCTCAAAACAAAACAAAAAGTTGGACTTTGTTAACTTTTGGATTGGAGAAACATTTTTACTTATACATATAGTAACTTTTCTTTAAGAAATATTATAAATTAAAATCTTTTCTACCCTGAAATAGACTATGTGGCATTTTAGGTTCTTTATAAATTTGAAAAAGCTTTCTGACAAGCTGGCTCACATCGATGACACCTTATGACAAGTGACATATTTAGCTTATATTTACACTATCTCCAATGAAAGCCTCGATTTAAACAGTGAATATGATAAAATTCAACTGAATAAAAAAGCTAATGAGCAAATATTATCTTAATTAGTTCTACTTTCAGTTTTAATATCACTTCAGAATTTTGGGCTAATACTAGAATGAAGGTTGTTTTATTTTGTTTGTTTTGTCTTGAGATGGAGTCTCACTCTTGTCACCCAGGCTGGAGTGGAGTGGCGTGATCTCAGCTCACTGTGACCTTTGTATCTCAGGTTCAAGCAATTCTCCTGCCTCAACCTTCTGAGTAGCTGGGATTACAGGCGTCTGCCACCATGCCCGGCTAAATTTTTTGTATTTTTAGTAGAGATGGGGTTTCACCATGTTGGCCAGGCTGGTCTCGAACTCCTGACCTCAGGTGATTCACCCGCCTCGGCCTCCCAAAGTGCTGGAATTACAGGTGTGAGCCACCAAGCCCAGCCAAAATGGAGGTTTTTCACAGTAGCACTTTTTATTTACAAAAGTTATTTTCTTGAGAAATTATTATAAATCATATTTTAAAGTTCACCAAAATACTTTTTTTCACATCCATCCTGCAATGAAACCCTTCTCATAATATAAATAACCACCTCCTAGCCCGCTCCTGCCACACACACACCCTAGTTCATTTGTTTTGTTCACATTTTTGTGTGTCTCATATTCATAAGTCAGGTCAAAACCTGATGGGAAATATGTATTGGCTCCAACATATAGAGACTCTTCTAATGTTGTTTACATGACCCCATAAATTTTCTCCATGGTACCATTGGGTAACAAAAAGTTGCTAATAATCTATTTTCTCATAGAAAAGCCTGAAATGACTTGTAGACATTGTCAGGTTGAGGCCTGAGTTTTTCTTGTTGAATCCTGTGGTATTTTCCCCAAAAAACGTGGAGAAAAGAATAATTTAGAATACCAAATTTACATGCCAAATTCTAGGATTTCCTTTTTATCTTTGATTATGGATGACTAGTTAAAATGACCAGTTCCTAATATGTAACTAAGAAATATTTATGACAACAATATCAGTAAAATTAGTGTAGAGATGAAAATATTTACTACTTGGAATATACATTAACTTTCTGGAAAATTTTGAAATTCAAAAAATTTATTAGAAATGATATCATGGAAAATATCAAATTAACAATTTTATCTGCAATTGTGAATTACAGGTTTTTTTTAATGTCTTTTTACTCTTTACAAAGATAAATTTTCCAATTCAAATCAGTAGGACTTCTTGACCCAAACTTCAAAGTCCACTATCTAAACTTAGGAAAATCAGTGTGATTTTCAAGTTATAGTACTCTTAGAAAATATCTCCTCTGTGAAAGTGAATGTTCAGATTACATATACAGAAAAGCTGTAGAAAGGTTTAAATCTAATGATAGGAACTATGTTACTTCATGGGGAAGTTCTGGAAATGCTATTAGGTGCTATGTGTTGTCTTCCCTGGCTCGGAAGGACATCACCAGGATGCTCCCGTGTCTGGGCAGCCTCATGATCCAATATTCCCTATTCTTAATTCCATAAAGACGCTTAATTGACTGGGTTGAAGTGTGTTAAGTTGTCTTAATGTTTCAAATTCATACATGAAACAATCTGGAATCTTCCCCCAGGAGCTCACTGTTCTGACTCCTTCTGTGCTCTGCCCACAGTCCCACCACTTACTTTTTCTCTCAGCGTCCTCAGCCCTGGTCAGGTAATGGTAGAAGTAATCCAGTTTATCAGGCTGCTCCTCCAGGGGCTTCTGCAGCCAGAAGAGGGACCTGACTCTCGCAGCCTCCCTCAGGGCATCCCACTGCTCCATCAGAGCGAAGAGCTCGGTGAAGGACTTATGATAACCATCTCGCAGCATGTCCACACAGATGTTCTTCTTGTAGGAGTTCCTATAACTGGGAATATGAATCAGAACACTCACAGATTTATGTTAATCCTTTCAGTCTGCATGGTGTTTTAATTCTCTAATAATTAAAGGTTGAATCATGTTGCCTTTTTTCCCACAGTGAAAGCACTGAAAACTATCAAAAGATCTTTGCCTCAAACACTTATAATTGAACAACTTCTGTTTAATGAAAGATGCCAGGAGCTATCTAAATACAGTAATTTTAATGAAATTACATTATAAACATATCAGTTCCAGAGCTGAGCTCCATTTGATAAGGACAAATAAGCTAGTTGACTGATGAATATTCAAAAATACTTGATACATCAGCCTCCCACCAAAAAAAAAAAAAAAAAACCCAACAAGTCAAGCAAGAATAAAAATTGCCGGCCGGGCGCGGTGGCTCAAGCCTGTAATCCCAGCACTTTGGGAGGCCGAGACGGGCGGATCACAAGGTCAGAAGATGGAGACCATCCTGGCTAAACCCGTGAAACCCCGTCTCTACTAAAAAATACAAAAAAAAAACTAGCCGGGCGAGGTGGCGGGCGCCTGTAGTCCCAGCTACTCGGGAGGCTGAGGCAGGAGAATGGCGTAAACCCGGGAGGCGGAGCTTGCAGTGAGCTGAGATCCGGCCACTGCACTTCAGCCTGGGTGACAGAGCGAGACTCCGTCTCAGAAAAAAAAAAAAAAAAAGAATAAAAATTGCCATTTAATATCAAAACAATATTCTCTCTATATTAGTAGTTTCACTGTATGTTACAGAAGTTCATTATTCTTTCATTCATGCAGAAAATATTTATTGAATTCTATTACTAACTATATATTTTCAAATTATTTTCAGTTAGAATTAAGTTAATGATTAATGATTCTATTCTAACTTCAATAATCAAATGCAAGAAGATAAAGTGACAAACAAATATTCCCTTTAGTCATGCGACAAATAGGTTCTGAGTTTCCTACTAAGTACCAGGCACTGTTCTAAACCAAATACATTCCATGCCCTTGTGACGCTTGCATTCTAAGGCCAGAACATGACTAACAAATAAGTAAGCAAATGAGAATAATTTCAAATGATGAAAATTTCTAGAAAGGAAATAAACAGAATTGTGAGGTAATCGCTGTGTAGTGGCTATTATTCCATTAAAAGAACAATTAGATGCCAAAAGATGTAGCTTTATACTAATTATGTTATATTCTTTTTTAAAAAAAAGGACAAAAGACCTGATGTGATACTACTGGCAACAAAAATTCACCGTGGAGTGGAAACAGCCCAGACCACCAAGATTGAGCCCAGTTTTGCCTCACCTCCCTAGGTCTCCAGTCTTCTCATCTCTAAGCTGTGTATACTAGTATATGCTACGTACACCATGGAATTCCTCTAGGAACCAAATGAAATTAGGTATGTGAGAATACTCTGGGAAATGTGAAATCTCACTGCTGCTTCTCAATTCCTCATTATGCATTAGATTCACCTACAGAGTTCAAAAAACAAACAAATAACAAAACAAAACAAAACAAAATGACTAGACTTGCATCTGCCAAGAATTTCTTATCCAGTGAATCAGCTTAGGTAGAGAACAAACAAATAAGAAGTGGCAAGCAGGAGAGTGGTGAGACAGGAAGTTTAGAAAAAAGGCAGGTCCCAGATCATGAAGAGACCTTACGGTAAAAACAACAGTGAGAAGTCTGGACTGCAAGCTAGCAGGGAGGTAGAGCTATTGGAGATCAGAGTCAGGGAACCGACATGACAAGACTGCATTTTACAAAAGTCATCTAGAAGAAATGTCCCAGCTGAACTGCAACCTTCCCCTATCTGGCAGTCAGGTTGTTACAGAACTAGTCCATAAAGAGAATAAAGAGACCACATGGATCCTAGGTCAAAAGATCAAAAGCCAACATTTAGCATGAGAATAAGATATATTTGAAATGGGGAAGAGAAAAGGAATAGTGGTTGTTACTTATTCCTGTCCTCCAATTGCGATAGAGGAGAGTATGGAGAAAGGCAGCGAGATGCTTGGAGGGCCATGTTCTCTTTCTCTTCCTCACTCCAGTCAAATGGAGGAGCTCAGAGAATCAAAAAGTCAATATCCTATGAAATGCAGTGGGAGCCAAGAGTAGAAAACACTCATATCCTTCTTCCCATCTAGGGTTCTTGAAGGCAGGGAGGACTACCAACATCCCTCTTCCCACCTCCCCATACACAAGGGCATGCAAAGGCAGCAAAAGTCACTGCATAGCATTTCTAGGCAGAGGACGACAAGGATCATCCCTGTAATTGCCCACAGCCCTGAATGGTATAGGAGAAGGGACTTAATATTCCAGTGGGCTCCATGTGTGGCCCAGAAGTTACTGGGAGGAGAGGGCTGATATGTCTGTCACAATGTCATCTGGCCATAGCAAGGAGATGTATGCTAACAACTGTTCATGGGCTGCCCACTGGGGACTGATGTAAGACACAGCTAAAACTGAAATGAGAAGTACTGGGGCACTCCTGAAGGGTTCAGGTCAGCATATTTCCAGAGCTGATAGAACAAAGACAGATCAAGTACATCAGAGATTGACACGTGTAAAGGACCTCATAAGCTAGAAATGCATTCAGGTAGTAAGTAAAAGAAACTTGTCTCACAGTGCTGTGAAAAATGGAGGTTTCTAATTTTCTTGCCTAAAGGCAGGCAGCTGAGGGCCTTGGTTCAGTGGCCTGGCAAGTTCAAGGCCATGTCTCTGGGGTTATCTTGACTTTCCCTCCTTCTGGTCCCTTACTGGTTGCTACAGGGCTGCTACAGCTTCAGACATGATGTCCACTTTCAAGACATGAAGAAAAGGGAAAGTGGGGTGGCACTGGCAGCCCTTATGGGAAAAACAAAACATTCCTGCAACCACTAGCAGATTTCCACTTGTTTATTGGCCAGAACCCTGTCACGGCCCCACCCCTCAACTTGGTGCCACGAGTCTGGAAAAACAAATACCCTGCCTGCTCTTAGGCATGTTGCTGCCCACAAACTAGTAAACTAGAGTTATGTCTGCAAAGACAGAGGAAGGAATGGATACTGGACAGACAAATGCAGTGACAATTACAAAGTCCTAGAAGTCAGGGGTGTCCAGTTTTTTCGCTTCTATGGGTCACATTGGAAGAAGAATTGCCTTGGGCCACACATAAAATACACTAAAACTAACAATAGCTGATGAGCTTAAAAAAATCATTTAAAAATCTCATAACCTTTTAAAGAAAGTTTATGAATTTGTGTTAGGCCACATTCAAAGCCATCCTGGGCCGTCTGTGGCCCACGGGCACTGGGTTGGACAAGATTGTTCCAGGTCAAGATCTGAAAATAAATGCTGTTACCCCAGGGAGTTACCAGATAAATTGTAGGAGGCCCAGATAAGTTTTAACATCAGATAAACAATGAATGATTTTTTTTTTATTAGCAGTATGTCCCAAATATTGCATAGAACATACTTATTCTAAAAAGAGTTTCTTGTTTTTGAAACTCAGACTGAACTGTATGCTCTGTATTTCTATTTGCTAAATCTAGTAACTCTCCTGCCCTGAAGCCCCCAGTAGTGCAATGCTGTTTCTGTGTAGGAAAATAGGGTGAGGGGAAGAAGTTTTAGAATCTTGAACAACTTGAGAAACTGCCGAATTGGACTGACTTTACCTGAGAGTGACAAGATTGGATTTTTACACTAGGGAGGATCAAGGCTCAGGGCCAGGAATTAAAATTAAGTTATAAAAAAATAAAGACTTTCAATTTAGCATTCTCAAGTCTGTGAGTCAGAAATTCACACCTGATCCAAGAGAAGCAAGGGGAGAAGGGTAAAACCAGGAGCAGGAAGAACGGATGGGAGATCGGTGGTCACGGAAAGGAGAGGTGCTGGGGGTGGAACCAGGATAAAGCTGGAGGGATGGAAAGAAGTAGGTGAATTCAAAACATTTTAAGGAGACAAAAATATGGATTACTTGGTGATTCAAAGATATATCAAGGGTGAAGGAAAGGGAGGAGCAAGGGTAACAACCAGGTTTGGGGATTGGGTAATGGGTAATTAGTAATTTGCTACAGAGGGGAAAGGATGAACAGGTTTGGGGAAAGAAAATGAGTTAAGGTTCAGATAACTGGAGTTTCAGGAGCCTGAGGGGACCTCCACGTGTTACCCCAGAAGGCAGTTTGAGGGGTGACATAGGAGGCCTGAGAGGACAAGGGGCTGGAATCTTGCTTCACACAAGCAATGCCACCTTTGTACGTGTATGCATTGGTGGCCGGCCAGTCTTCCTAGGAGTGAAGAAAACATTTGGGGGCAAAAATGAAGAAAATTATAAATAGATAAAAATTTAAACATTGACCATAAATGATACAAATAAATGCTAGATAGGGCAGTTAGAAGGCCATCTCAGTTCTAATCCCAACAGGGTCAGAAATCCAGAAAAATCACTCTCTGGGCCTCATTCCTCCACCCCTGGAAGATGAAGGTGCTTTTGCTGGATTTGGTCCACCCAGCATCTAGCTCCACGTCCACAGGAGGCACACTCTAAAAGTATTTCAGAAATAACCTTCCCCACATTGTGTGTAGTCTTGGTGGCATGGAAATTCAGGGACTCCCTAGCCAAAGAGTGGGTTATTGACCCAAATTAGGCCAACTGGTCTCTCTCCCAAAATTCTGAAACCTGAGGCAAGCAACACAAAGGTGTAGGAGGTTGCTGGTGCTCAATCAATTCTGGCAGAATTTTGACAAGATTTTCTCATAGTTCCTGCTAACTATGTCCATTCGAGAGGGCCGGGTCTGGTCTTTTTCTTCTGATCTGGGTTCTTCTCTAAATTCTACTACATCCTTTCAATAAAATCATTTTCACTTGATTTAGTCAGAATCCATTTCTGCTGTCTGTGACCAAAGAACACTAAGTGATTCAGAAGGGACTGGACGATCATTATTTCCACACCATCTTTCAGCCTCAAACATCTATGATATATAACTAATATCGATTTTTAAAATTTCCAGTACATTTTTTAAAAAGAT